AGAATCTTAAAGGCAGCAAGGGAGAAAAAAGAAATAACATACAAGGGAGCCCCAATAAGGTTAGCTACTGACTTCTCAATGGAAACACTTCAAGCAAGAAGAGAATGGCAAGAAATATTCCAAGTAATGAGAACCAGAGGCCTACAACCAAGGCTACTTTACCCACCAAGGCTCTCAATCAAGATAGATGGCCAAATAAAGAGCTTCCAAGACAAAAGAAACCTAAAAGAATACGCCTCCACCAAACCAGCTCTACAAGAAATACTAAAAGGACTGCTTTAAGGAAAGGAAGGATAAGAGGGAGACGGAGAGGAACACAGGTACAAAAATGGCAATGAATAAGTCCCTATCAATAATAACCTTAAACATAAATGAATTAAATGCTCCAATCAAAAGACACAGAATAGCTCAATGGATAAGAAAGCATGACCCACACATATGCTGCCTACAAGAGACCCACCTCAGGACAAAAGACCATCACAGACTAAAAGTGAAAGGCTGGAAACAAGTTTTCCAAGCAAACGGACAAGAAAAAAAGCTGGGGTAGCAATTCTCATATCGGACAAAATAGACTTCAAAAAAAAGGCCATAAAGAGAGACCCAGAAGGTCACTTCATTATACTCAAGGGAAGAATCCACCAAGAAGACATTAACATTGTAAACATATATGCACCAAACATAGGGGCACCCAAATATATCAAGAAAATCTTAGAGGACTTCAAGAAAGATATTGACAGCAACACAATTATAGTAGGGGATTTGAATACTCCACTATCAAAAATGGACAGATCTTCCAAACAAATTATCAACAAAGGTATTGTGGCATTAAACAACACCCTAGATGAAATGGACTTAACTGATATATATAGAGCCCTTCATCCCAAAGAAGCTAAATACACATTCTTTTCAAATGCACATGGAACATTTTCAAAGATAGACCACATGATAGGACACAAGACGAGCCTCAAAAAATTCAAGAAAATTGAAATCATACCAAGCATCTTCTCTGACCACAAGGGACTGAAATTAGAAACCAACCCCAAAGAAAAAAACCCAAAGCACCCAAAATCATGGAGACTGAATGGTATGCTATTAAACAACGGATGGGTCAAGAATGAAATTAGGGAAGAAATCAAAACGTTTCTGGAAACAAATGAAAATTATCTCACAACAACCCAAAACTTATGGGAAACAGCGAAGGCAGTCCTGAGAGGGAAGTTTATAGCAATACAGGCCTACCTAAGGAAGACAGAAACATTACAAACAAATGACCTTACTCTACGCCTGCAAGAACTTGAGGAACAACAACAAAGAGAGCCCAGAGCAAGCAGAAGGAAGGAAATAACCAAGATTAGAGCAGAATTAAATGACATAGAAACTAAAAGCACAATTTTAAGGATCAGTGAATCCAGGAGTTGGTTCTTTGAGAAGATAAACAAAATAGACAAGCCTTTAAGTAGGCTCATCAAGAAAAGAAGAGAGAGGACACAAATAAACACAATCAGAAATGAAAGAGGAGAGATTACAACTGATGCCACAGAAATAGAAGGGATTGTAAGAAATTACTATGAAGAACTGTATGCCAAGAAATTTGAAAACCTAGGGGAAATGGACACATTTCTAGAAAAATACAATCTTCCAAAACTCAGTGAAAAAGAAGCAGAAAATCTAAATACACCAATAACAGCAAAAGAAATGGAAGCAGTAATCAAAAAACTCCCATCACACAAAAGCCCCGGACCAGATGGTTTCACAGGAGAATTCTACAAAGCATTTAAGGAAGAGCTAACCCCTATTCTCCACAGACTATTCCAAAAAATCCAGAAGGATGGAAAACTCCCAAATTCTTTTTATGAAGCCAGCATCATCTTAATTCCAAAACCAGATAGAGACACAACAAAAAAAGAAAACTTCAGGCCAATATCGCTGATGAACATAGATGCTTAAATCTTCAACAAAATATTGGCAAATCGCATCCAATAATATATCAAAAAGATCATACACCATGATCAAGTGGGATTCATCCCTGGGATGCAAGGATGGTTCAATATTCGCAAATCTGTAAATGTAATACATCACATAAACAAAAGCAAAGACAAAAATCACATGATCATATCAATAGATGCAGAAAAAGCTTTCGATAAGGTACAACACCCATTTATGATAAAAACACTCAGTAAAGTGGGAATACAGGGAGCATTTCTCAAAATAATAAAGGCCATATATGAGAGACCTACAGCCAATATCATACTCAATGGGAAAAAACTAAAAGCTTTTCCACTAAGATCAGGAACAAGACAAGGTCGTCCACTTTCACCACTTCTATTCAATATAGTATTGGAAGTTTTAGCCACAGCGATCAGGCAAGAAAAGGAAATAAAAGGCATCCAAATAGGAAAGGAGGAAGCAAAACTGTCACTGTTTGCAGATGACATGATAGTGTACATGGAAAATCCTATAGACTCTACCCAAAAACTGCTCGAACTAATTAATGAGTTTGGCAAAACAGCTGGTTACAAAGTCAATATCCAGAAATCAAAGGCATTTTTGTATACCAACGGTGAATCAGCAGAAGCAGAAATAAAGAAAAAAATCCCATTCGATATAGCAAAAAGAAAAAATAAAATATCTGGGAATAAACCTAACTAAGGAGGTAAAAAACCTGTATGCAGAAAACTACACAGCCCTGAAGAACAAAATCAAGGAAGACACAAACAAATGGAAACATATACCTTGTTCATGGATTGGAAGAATTAACATCATCAAAATGTCCATACTACCCAAAGCAATATACAGATTCAATGCAATACCTATTAAAGTACCAATGGCATATTTCACAGACATAGAACAAACACTTCGAAAATTTGTATGGAACCATAAATGAGCCCGAATAGCAGCTGCTCTTTTGAGAAAGAAGAACAAAGTAGGGGGGAATCACAATACCTGACACCAAACTGTATTACAAGGCCACTGTAATCAAAACAGCCTGGTACTGGCATAAAAACAGGCACAGAGACCAATGGAACAGAACAGAGAGCCCAGAAATCAACCCAACTCTCTACAGTCAATTAATATTCGACAAAGGGGGTAGTAACATAAAATGGAGTAAAGATAGCCTCTTCAACAAATGGTGTTGGGAGAACTGGACAGCTACATGCAAAAAAATGAAACTTGAGCACAGACTTACACTATATACCAAAATAAATTCAAGGTGGATAAAAGACTTAAATGTAAGTCGTGACACCATTAAAGTCCTAGAGGAGAACATTGGCAAGAAAATCTCAGATATTTCACGCAGCAACTTCTTTACTGATATGTCCCCTAGAGCAAGGAATGTAAAGGAAAGAATAAACAAATGGGATCTCATCAAAATAAAAAGCTTCTGCATGGCTAAAGAAAACAGTATTAAATTAGCAAGACAACCAACTGTATGGGAAAGCATATTTGCCAATGATACCTCAGACAAAGGTTTAATCTCCAAAATATACAAAGAACTTACACGACTCCACCCTAAGAACACAACCCAACCCAATTAAAAAATGGGAAAAGGACTTGAACCGACACTTCTCCAAGGAGGACATACAGAACATTCAGAGACACATGAAGAGATGCTCAATATCGTTAGCTATCAGAGAGATGCAAATTAAAACCACAATGAGATACCACTTTACACCAGTCAGGATGGCTATCATAAACAAAGCAACAAACAACAAATTTTGGAGAGGTTGTGGGGAAAAGGGGTCCTTAGTTCACTGTTGGTGGGAGTGCAGACTGGTACAACCATTATGGAAAACAGTATGGAATTTCCTCAGAAAAATAAAAATCGACCTGCCTTTTGACCCAGCAATTCCACTGCTGGGATTATATCCTAAGAATCTTAAAACATCAATATCAAAGAACCTATGCACCACAATGTTCATAGCAGCACAATTTACAATAGCCAAGAGTTGGAAGCAACCTAGGTGCCCATCAGTAAATGAATGGATCCAAAAATTGTGGTACATATACACAATGGAATTCTATGCTGCAGAGAGAAAGAAGGAGCTACTACCTTTTGCAACAACATGGATGCAACTGGAAAGCATTATGCTGAGTGAAATAGGCCAGGTGCTGAAAGACAAATACCATATGATCTCACCTTTAACAGGAAGCTAAATAACAAAACAAACAAGCAAGCAGGAAAAAAAAAACCAACAAAGACACTGAAATAGAGAACAAGGGGATAGTGACCAGAGGGGAGAAGGAAGGGAAGTTAAGGGGAAAAAGGGGGAGGGATTTGGAGGAACAAATAGGAAGGACACAGGGACGAGAACTAAGGGGGGTGGAAATGGGAGGGAGGTGGGGAGCAAGGGGCGGGGGAGGCTGGGATGGGAAAAATAGACAAAAAACTGTACTTGAAAAATAACTAAATAAAAAAAAAAGAAAAAAAAAGAAATATAAGATGGAAAACCACTGTTAATAAATTTTCCAACAGCTGAAGTGTTTCTAAACCCAAATTCTATTTGTTTATTTAACACAAAACAGTAAAACACAAACCCAAAGGTAGCCAAGTTCTGCAACTGAATATTAACAACATCCATGCTCAGATATTATGAAGAAACATCCTATAATACTAAAACATAAACCACATATCATAAATATACGTGAATTAGTAACTACTTGATCCAGATCCATGTTGCTGTTCATTTTGTACAAATGACTCTCATTACTTGAATTATCATACATTTCATATTTAAAATAAACAAGTTTGAGGCCTAATTAATTATTCTGCCTAGTGAATTATATAAATAAAAGCAATGCATGTTGAAACATAGATTCTCAACAGGCTAATCAACAGACCAGAAACACTAAATTGCAAACTAAGTTACTGTCAAATCCTTTATAAATAAATACGAATTCATACCTTCCTTTTCCTATGTCTCCAAAAAAGTAATCAAATTCTGAAAAAATAAAAACTACAAAATACCACACTAGACAAGTTTCATGAGTTTCTTGGTTACCTTTACTTTATCTCTTCTCAAGCAACAGAACAGACAATTTTCATCAAAAGTCCAATCAGAAATGCTTTCAGGTTCACAGTCTGCAAAAACAGTAGGAATAAAAAAATTAATAGTCACAAACATTTTTCAGGAAACAAACGAGACTGTCAAAAATATTATTTTAACAACAAAAAATCCTCACTAAGAAGTAGACAGGTTCCCATTTGTGTTAAGAATCTTAACAGCAACTACTCACTAGTTAATGTACCATATTCATACAAGTATCTGTACTATCAATTAAACACAAGAAGATGCTCACATGGATGTAGCTTTAACCAACATAAATTGTGAATAAAAAGGAAGAGACTGAGGATTAAATCATCAAGGTATCATGTTACCAGGATGATTTTTAAATACCAAAAAAAAGATTTTGAATACCTTTAAATAAACTGAGATCTTTTAATAATGCAGGTCCAAACAGCCCTTCAAGAATACTTTCAAACCCCGAAAGGATGAAAAAATCCATTATTATAGTATTCCCTATTGTAATTGGATATTAATGTTACAGGAAAAAATGACGGTGTTTTTTCCAGTTCTTGAGGATCCCAGATTATTACTGAAGAGATGCTAAGGAAAGAGTGTCAATGGCACATCTAAAAGGAGAATCTGTATTTTTGTCAATGATTAACATTCAATACAAATTCAGAGCACGTTCCAGAACAATACAAAACAGACAGTGCTAGAAATAATCAATGAAAAATGGAAACTAAGATTCTCTTAACATCTTACAAAATCCCAAATAAGCTCTTTACATAACATTCAAACTCCATTTTAAAAGGTACCTTTCCCAATGGAAGAGTCAGACTGCTTCAAAATTGCCACAACATTGTGGATTAAACAAAATACCATGCTTCTAAATATCAATGAATACAAGAGATTTTCAAGCTAATAGTTTTTTGAAGAAGGAAAATTCTTACTTAAAACAATACCTATATCACTACAGGAAAAAAAAACATTGCATATTTTAACAGAAAAATACTTATTTGATTATTTCACACTGTCACAATAACTACTTACTGGTTCCTTTATGATGCTAGAAACCAGTAATTACAAATACCAAGAAATATAAGAAGAAATTTAAATACACCTGTACATAAATGTTTAAACTATTATCATCCTGTAATAGTATAAAGTAGAAAATGAAACACACACTAAACAGTTTCTAATTTACTTAATCAAATACTGCTGATGGATGCAATAAATAACAATTAAAAATATTTTTGTCATCTTGTTGTTTTCTATGGGTTAGTTATTAAGAAGAAAAAGAGGGTCCTGCCTGGTGTGACTCAGTAGATTGAGTGCCAGCCTGCAAACCAAAGGGTTGCTGGTTTGATTCCCAGTCAGGGTACGTGCCTGAGTTGTGGGCCTGGTCCCCATTTGGGGGTGCAAGAGAGGCAATCATACACCAATGTTTCTCTTTCTCCCTCCCTTCCCCTTTCTCTAAAAATAAATAAATAAATCTTTTTTTAAAAAGGAAAAAGAAGAAGGGAATTAGACTGTAACTCTACACAACATTACAGAAATAATGGATTAGAGTAGTGGTTCCCAAACTATGTGTGATGTACCTCACTGAGTTCCAAAGGGTAATAAAGGATACAGGAATCCATATGTACTTTAACTATAACTTTTCGAAGGAGTCAGTGTGTCTTGTGTATTTTGTATACATACTACTTTTCAAAGGTATGGAAATGTTATTCTAATTAAGAAAGCATAAAAAGTGTTACTGAATTTCTAGTAACACTAGTTAGGAGCACTATGAATTCTGTCACATAATCTATCACTTAAGGATTTATGACTTTTCATTATTAAAAAGTACTTTTATATTCAAAAGGGAGTGAACACTAATTTAAAATACTATAGACAGGGGGATATGTAAGGTCCACACATAGGTATCATTTCCTTATCACAAACCCACTCACCATAAAATGTGTGGAAGGTCAGATAAGATGGTCCCTGGAAACAGTATTTTATCTGGTTGTAAGAACAACATTGTGCCCTGGCCAGGCAGATCATTTGGTTAGAACATCACCCCAAAACATCAAGGTTGAGGGATCAATCCCAGTTAGGGGGCATGTAAGAATCAACCAATGAGTGCTTAATTAAGTAGAGCAACAAATCGATGTTTCTGTGCCCTACCTCTCTTTCTATTTCTTCCTCTTCCTCTCTCCCCCACTCTTTGTCCCTTCCTCTCTCTCCCTCTCTAAAATCAATAAATAATCATTTTAGTTTTAGAGTTCCAGTCAAAATGGAGGCTAGGGAGACATGCTTCGCCTCCTCATGCAACCACAAAGAGAATTACAACTATATTTCAAAACAAGTAACAACCCAAACTGTCAGAAAATTGACCTATATGGAAGTCGGACAACCAGGGATTTAAAGAAGCCACATTCATTCAGACGGGCAGAAGGGGTGGAATCACAGAGACTGATGGAGAGGCATGGAGATGTGGTGTGGCATGGAGAGGCTGTGGTGGTGGTGGTGGCAGAATGGGCAGTCCCATACTCACATGTGATGGATAAAAATCAGGAGGGATACCTTGGGAGCAAGCAAACCCAGCTTAGGGTTCGAGCACTGGGAATGTGAATCCCCATAACTTCTGGCTGTAAAAACCAGTTGAAGTTGGGGCAGGGGAAGAAACTGCCGAATTTTCAGGAGAGTCTGTTTAAAGGGCCTGCACAGACCCTTAGAATATACATAACCCACCCACTGGGATTCACCACCAGGACAACAGCTGGAAGGGCACCAGTCACATATGGGAAGTAGGAGAAGTGACTGGAAATGGGTTAAGTGTGGGGTAAACTTCCAGAAGCCAGGCAGTGGCACTGTCTCTTCTCTGAGTCCTCCGGCCACATAGAGCCGCAATGTGGTGAAGGGGGTTGCCCCACCCTGGTGATTACCTAAGGCTCCGCCACTCACAATTTACAGGTGCCTTTTCTAAAACAGGGAGTCAAAACAGCTGTACCTAATACACAGAAACAAACACAGGGAGGCTACCAAATTGAGGAGACAAAGAAATATGGCCCAAATGAAAGAACAAAACCAAACCCCAGAGAAAGAACTAAACAAAATGGATATAACCAACCTATCAGACACAGAACTCAAAACACTGGTGATCAGGACGCTCAAAGAACTCACTGAGTATGGCAAAAAACGTAAGGGAAGAAGTGAAGGTTACACTAAGTGAAATAAAGAAAAATCTACAGGAGCCAACAGTGGAGAAGATGAAGTTGAGAATCCAATAAATGATTTGGAACATAAGGAAGAAATAAAAAAAAATTTCGACTGGGACAGAATGAAGGAACAAGAATTCAAAAAAATGAGTAGAGGCTTAGGAACCTCTGGGACAACTTTAAATATACCAACACCTGAATCAGAGGGGTGCCAGAAGGAGAAAACCAAGAGCAAGAAATTGAAAACTTATTTGAAAAAATAATGAAAGAAAACTTCCTTAATCTGGCAAAAGAAATAGACATGCAAGTTCAGGAAGCACAGAGTCCCAAACAAGTTGGACACAAAGAGGTACATATCAAGACATATCATAATTAAAATGCCAAAGGTTAAAGATAAGCAGAACTTAAAAACAGAAAGAGAAAAAAAAATAGTTACCTACAGGGGAGTTCACATAAGATTGTCAGCTGGTTTCTCAAAAGAAACATTGCAGTCCAGGGACTAGTAAGAAGCATTCAAACTGATGAAAAGCAAGGGCCTATAACTCAGATTACTCTCTCCAGCAAAGCTATCAATTTAGAATTGAAGGGCAGATAAAGTGCTTCCCAGACTAGGTAAAGCTAAAGGAGTTCCTCATTACCAAGCCATTATTATAAGAAATATTAAAGAAACTTATTTAGGAAAAATAAGATCAAAACTATGAACATTAAAATGGCAACAAATTCACAACTATCAATTGAATCTAAAGAAACAAACTAAGCAAACAACCAGAACACGAACAGAATACGGATACGGAGATCATTAGATGGCTATCAGGTAGGAGGGGGAAGGGGAGAATGAGGGAAAAGGAGCACAGATTAAGAAGCATAATTGGTAGGTACAAAATAGATGGGGAGGTTAAGAACAGTACGGGAAATGGAGAGTCGAAGAACTTATATACATGAACCATGGACATGAACTAAGGGGGGTGGGACTGGGGGAGGGGAGGGGAGGGGAGGGGGGTTCCTCCCTTGGCAGGGGAAGACAAAGGAGGAAAAATTCGTACAACTGTAATAGCATAATTGATAAAATATATTTAAAAATTGTTATTTAAAAAAAAAAAAGTAACACTAATTTTAGTAAATTTCTTTGTCCTTAGTATTGAGCCATAATTTTCAATAGAGTAATCCCTAGAATTTGTAGTATATACACTATTGAGAGTTGATTTTTCTACACTATTTTCTAGATTCTAGATTTTCCATTTATGATTAAGGAGCAACTGTTTCTCGAGTCTTAGTTCTTCCCATCAAAATTATTCCAAGAACATTAGCAAGATCAAACCACTCATTTAAAAAAATGGGAGGTATCTATGCCTGTTAATTATTTCCCTACTATAATTAAAACATTTCCTACTAAATTACTATGGGCTTTCTTCCCTACGCTAAGGAGAAGAAGGGGTTGCACTAAGGGTTTTGAGGGTGAGGAGATGGTGGCAGGTAAGAGAGTAAGATGGAATTGCTAGATACCACCTACCTCTGCAAACTGGATCTTCTCAACACTAGTCTTTAAAAAAAGAAAAAAATCCCATGGGCTCTCTCCAACTTATCTAAAGCCCTCCTACCCCCCACAAAAGGAATTGATTTTATTTCAATATCTTGCAAGTATCAAATACACACTGCAAATGGCTAAAGGAGATTACAGGTGGTTCTTATCCTGAAGTGCAAAAATAAATAAACAAATAAACCAAGTTTTCACTTGGGTTTATAAGAAACTATAACAAACTCCAAACTTGCATGCTAAGCATAAATTCCTGAAAGGAGAAATGTATATACAACGAGAAATAATACTGGGAAACAACAACAAAACACACATAAATAAAAGCTCTGGAAGATAG